CAAATGAAACTTTATGAAAACCAACGAATCTGGTGGCCGGAACGATAAAAAGCAAGGTATCTGAAAAAAAATAATGTTGTTAGCAACAAATAATTGTTTAATATAAACTCTTTTACCTCCAATTGAATATTACGTCTTATAAACACGGGTGGTGAGTGGCGCAGCCAAATGCAGCTTCACCAAAACCGGAACGATAAAAAAGCAAGGTATCTGTAAAAAATAATGTTCTTAGTAACAATATATTTTAACTAAAATTCACAATTATACTTGCTGGCACAACAAAGAATGGCGGGTATATTTGCGCGCATTGAAAATCAGCTGACTACTATGACAGCGTTCAAAGCTACCATTAGGCCATAAAAGCCTTCAAAGTAAAGCAAAGCAAACTAAAGTAAGCAAAGCAAGCAAAGCAAGCGTGCATTGGACCAATACCTTGAGTGTCGCCGGGCAAGCTTCAAGCACCCGACATTCAACCCGACACTCACACATGTACTTGTTGCTGGGGTAACCAACAACGGATGCTTGAAATCGCCGACGAGCTTTACATTAAACAATAGAAATTAGAGGTGCAAAACTATCGATGGCACTATCGATGTTTTTTATTTTTCCCTACTATCGATTGTTTTTTGGTCCTATCGATAGTCCGACAGACATGTGATTCAGTATTTATTTTAGTTTTATTTCTTCTTTTCTTTTCATTTCTCTTAAACATCCAAGTTGAACTAAAAATTTGGTTGCTAAGAGTAATGTCAAATTTCGAAAATGACGGAAAACCTTGCATCTTTTAAAATACCGCTAAAAAACTGATTCAAGGTAATTTATACCAAAACTTTCAATATTATCTACCACCACTATTTACTATTTATGAAAAGGTAAATAAAAACCATTACTTCTCAGATAAAAAATGGTTTCTTCATCTAAAATTGAAATTTACTTGATGAATGCCTTATATATGACGGAGGATATCTAAAACCACAAATATAAAATTTCAGTATGCCCAATTTTTTTTCCATTTCAATTCATTTCAAATTTTCAATAACTTTACTTCTAACTTAACGGTTAAACAATTACAAAAAGTGTACAGTAGTTTACAAGAATATCCAAACGTAGTTTCGAAATATATTCTTAGGGAAATCTTCATACGAAAATTGAGCCAAAACCATATAAATACGATACTATCGACGATATATCGATAGTTATGAAAATAATATCGAAAACTATCGATAGTTTTGCACCTCCAATAGAAATCGCAAAAATTAGCAAATAAAATACTCGCTTTGTTTTGTTTTGTTGTCAAATTTCTGAGAAATGTGAAGTCACCACGATGCGATACAGAAAGAACAAGGACCAGGGATGTAATTTTAAGTAATCTATTATTCAGTGGCAACGCGCAGAGCGTTCGGGGCAGCAATATTAATTTGTATCAAATATAACATTAAACGGTGGTTCTAATACATTTTTTGATATTATTAACCATAGTACATACATTATATGGTATTTCTTTCAAAATTAATGTACTATATAAACTTTTTTTTCAAATATTTCTCAAGTTTCTTTCATGAGTGCTGAAAAGCAACCATGCGTGTAAGAATTGTGTGCTACCTAAAATTTCACCTCTGGAAATTTTATCCCCATAAAGGACTTCACCACAGTTTTTTTACTGGATATACTGAGCAGCTAAGCGTTTAAAGAAAATGGCTGTAAATATAGACGAATACGATTCCCAGGTAATTTATAATAAAATTCCTAATGAAAATTCACAGTAAATACTTTCAACCACTTCCAGCTTCAAAGTGTAGAGCAATGCTTACAGAACACCAAAAACGAGGAAGAGCGGATTGCATTAGCCAGTCTTAAGACAGATCTTTTAGAACTTATTGAATTAACGAAGGAAACGCATGAAAAGGAAGCGTTACAGAATGAAGATAGATGTGTTCTCAATGAAGAATTGGAGAAATTTAACAGCGAAATAGCACAATTGAGTAATGATGATACAGCCGGCAAGATCACGCAAGACTGTAGTGAAGATGTGAAAAAATTTCCAGAACTCGAGGTAAACCTAGAATTACTGAATGTAACTAGTTAATCATTAAAATCCACAAGTTCGAACTAGAAAACATTATCGGCCAAAAGTGTTCTGCACCCCACCAACATTCCTGGGGCGCAACAAGTTACCATAACGCGATAGTATGTTCAATTGAGGTTACTGCCCATACGGCTCGCTTGCGTATACTCTTCACCAATCCAACTCATCGCGAGATGTTGCCTTGCTTGTTTTTCCTCGAAGGGGAGTGTCGATTCGATGATATGCATTGCCACTACTCCCACGGCGAGCTTGTAGATGTAGATCAGTTAGGAAACTACACTGAACCAGATTTTACTCGCCTTGCACGTAATTGCGTTGTACTTGCGAAATTACCTGACCGCCTTTGGCATCGAGGTCGAGTTCTTTGCGCTAATTTTATAGAAAAGATATGTCGTGTTCGACTCGATAGAAAAGATGAAAATAAACGGGAACGTGACTTTTCGTTTGAAGATTTACTCCCAATATTCCATGGTTCGTAAAGTGCCTTAAAGCTATATAAAATGTAACAAATTAAAAATTATCTTTCCCTATGAAAATATATGCAGATGATGATCTATCTAGCGGAAGCTCGAGTGGTTCTGATGACGAAGTAATAAACTCGGAAGGTAGTGAATATATGAAAATTTCTAAGCGAACACAATTAACGGAGCAGAGCTTATTTGAATTTAAGACTGCAGAGCCCCTAGGAGAGTGGGAAAAGCATACGCGGGTAAGTTAATCTGTTTTAGGCGCCTATTAAGGTTCACAACTAAGCTTATACAATGTTCTGACCGCCAACGAAAACACCTTGAAAACGAGTTTTGGGATTGTGGGCTGTTCACACCGACTGTTGGTGTTTTCGTTGACATTTCTTACATCCTTTGTTTACAGTTTTGCTGCACAAATACAAAACCAAAATACTTTTCCTTCAATTTCTTTTCATTAACAACCTTTTACTTCCATGCTTATTTTATTTTGGTCAGCCAATTAACATTAAATCCGAAATGGCGTATTAAAGAAGTAAAATATGACTTCCACTTCGATAAATAATCGAAAAAAACTAGTGCAGAAACCGATTGGAATGAGTGGAACGTGAGTTTTCAAGTGCTTTTCAGCGAAAACTTGTTTTCGTTTGACAGATTTTACATTGACGAAAACACAAGTTTTAGGTCGAAAACCAGTTTCAGCAACGAAAACATGTTTTCGATGTCGGTCAGAACATGGTATAAGTTGAATGGAATATGTTTTAAGACTTGAATTCAGTTGTGTCCCGCAACAAGTGGCGGATACAAGGAAGGGGGGGGGGGTTATTTTTTCATTTCAACCTTCAATCACATTTGCATAGTAGAACTGGTCAAAATTCCTTGGTGTGTTTTTCTGATAAGTAATGAACAAATAAATAATCAAGGCGAATTAATATATGGTGATAGCAGGAGTACAAAAACAAAAATTTACATGTATTTTGTTTTTGCTTTGGCGGCATAAACTGTCAAAATCTGTAAGAGTATGTGTAGAAATTCAAACAAAATTTTTCAATTTGATATCGGAAGCCGTGCGGCGAAACACATCCACAAAATCAGCTGAGCTAGTAACACCACCTTATATAAATTCGCCTTGCAAATAATAATGCGACGGCGCGAAATGATAAAAGCTATTTTTTGACATGTTCTGCTTTACAACTTGAAGAGTTGTGATAAAATGTTTTAAGTTATAATATAAAAAACAGGGAAGTAAAAAGGATCCCAATATTTTTTTTAATTTGGCCATTTTATGATGCATTTCCCTATATGCATAAAAAACCAGCTGTTCAAAAAATAGTAGTGCTTAAGTTGAGAAGCTCTAACATTTTAAAGAAATAAAAATATCTTCATAGTTTTTAAGTTATTTGACTATTATTCGGTGTAAAATTACTACAAATATGGTACCCCCTTTTGCAATTAGGAAAATAAACGCATCTCTTTTTCGATAAACGAGAAGTGGTAATAATTCCAAGAAATCCAGGGGAAATCTTTAGCTATTTGTACAACGATTTAGGGGTGGGGGAGGAGGGGGAGAGGGCGTGGCTACCCAAACCCCACTAAACAAAGGAGGTTGAACGCCGCTTTATGAAAAGTCACCCCTCACCTCCTCCCCCCCCTAAAGACCCCTTGGGAGCTGTTTGAAAATACGGGAATTTTAGATTTTTTTGCAAAGAAAAAACAAAGTTAAACTTGCGTCCGAAGAAGTGGGGCTGAACACCTTTTGCAGAGAACACCTTTCTGCGTAGGCGGCCTTCGGCCGCGCTTAGAGATTATAACCCTTACTACGTAGAATTCTCCTTTCTGTGTGACATAACTGGGGCTACCGGCCCAGTGATGTAACCTTGGGAAAGGATGAAGTAACTAGAATTCCCTTTCTGTGTGGTAAACCTGGGGCAGCCGCCCCAGTGATGTCTATTTTGGTTACTCGGTGTTTTATAAAAATATCTTGTATATAAAAATGTATATACAAATTTATAACAAAAATTTGCAATAAATACCATATTTCCAACCGACATTATTGTTAAATTAGTGCACAGATTTAGTAAATTAAATATTTGTAATCTAATGAAGCGTGAACTGTTGTCTTCAAGTGTGTGTAAAAGTTTTTTGATTCGATTCACGCGTTTGGGCACAGCAACCCAAAATCGTTGTACAAATTCATAAAGAGTACCCAAATCCAGACCAAATGTACAAAAAACCTCACACCTAAGGGTATCGTGTTAGTCTTATCTAATAACCTCAAATTGGATATGTCTTCTTCCAGACTATCCATTGGTCGTCAATAGAATACAGAAAACCGCTTAAGATGCAGTTTGAGACAAGTTGGAAGTGTGGGGGCAGATCACTACGATATTGGCATGTTTTCCGTAGTTTGGTATTTGTCCTTATGGATACCAAATGTACTTTATTTTACAGGAAATCATATTAGTACCACATGAACGTTGAAAGTTCTCAACAAAAAAGGTGCCTAAAAGATTAACGAACCAAAAAATACCAGTAAATTGCGCAAAAAGCTATTTTCGTCCAAAAGTGATCGGTATAAGGCAAAGAGGAATTTCATATGGCCAACATTAAAAGGATAGAAAGTCTGTGAGGAAAGGTTAAAACCAATTCTGAAAGTAAAATGGGCTTAAGTCCGTATTAGACGCTATCAGGATGTTAGCGGCCCTCTGTAACATCAAAATTGATCCAAATTAAACTGAAAAAGATTTCGTACGAGATATCAGACGCAAATAAACAACAAATAGTACAAAACATTGGCTATATCTTTAGTTTTAACTTTGTGAAGGTAACCACTACTATTATTTTGAACAGCTCAATTAAGCACTATTACTTTGCTTAAGCCGTAGTGTATAAACAAACCAATATTTTTAGTATATGAAACTTAAATATTCAGGAAATATCGAGAATCTACTTTTTTAACCTTTTTATATGCATCCTTTATGTGTACTTGTTGGGTTTCTTGTTTGATGGGAATGAAACAGCAAAACTGCATACATATTTCTAGGGCATATTTAGATCAGCGAGCGGTCGCTGTGGTGTAGTGGTTAGCAGTGCGCTACCACTCCGCAGGGCCTGGGTTCAAGCCGTGGTCAAAGCAACATCGCAAAACAAAATATAGAAAAAAAGGTTTTTCTTAACAGCGGTCTCCCCTCGGTAGGCAATGGCAAACCTCCGAGTGTATTTCGATGGCTGAGTGGAAGATCGACCTATCTCGGCAGCCAGTTCGAAAACGTCCTATCTCAGAAAATTTTTCAACAACGCTTTATCTCAGAAAACTTTTCAAGAACGCCCTACTTCAGAATTTGATTGGAAAACATCCTACCTGAGAATTGGGTTGAATAACGCCCTATCTCAGCTGCCGAACCAAAAACGTCCTATCTCAGCTTATTTTCAATGTGTTTTCGTTTGAGATAGGGCGTTTTTGAACCGAGTACTGAGATAGTGCGTTCTTCAACAAAATTCTGAGATAGTGTTTTTCAATAAAATTCTGAAATAGATTGTTTTTCAATAACATTCTGAAGTATGGCGTTCTTGAAAAGTTTTTTGAGATAGGGCGTTTTCGAACAGGCTGCCCAGATAGGTCGATCTTCCACTCAGCCATCGTGAATTCCCAGCGGTAGCCTGACCTCCTTCGTCCAGGTGGTCAATATGGTCGCAGAGGATTTCATAGGGGAGAGGGCTAGACATTTTGCAGTGAAGAAGCGAGAAAGATCGGAGAGATATTCCCACGACAGCAGAATGACTCGGGGTTTTACCCGACCAAGGGCTGTTGTTTCGGCGATCTAACCCCGTTTAGGTCGGCGAAGTATCTCAGAAGTTGCTCGTCCATAGGGCTACATTCACTACGTATTCTTCTACTCAGGGCTGGCATCGAGTTAAACCCAGGGCCAGAAATCTACACCTGCTGTGTATGCCAGAGACGACTACACTACAACTCCACCTCAGTCAAGTGTAATGCCTGCGAGGGGTGGAGTCACCTTAGAGTCTGCTCAGGACTACGGACACATCGACAGTGGACCACGTCGTACGTGGCCCACTGTTGCTCAAACAGAGCAGCCTCCACGGCTAACCTCAGTCCACCCGAGCAGCCTCACACAGTCACCACAGCACAACAACATAATAACACCACATACCATACCACAGCCACGACAGACCACATAACACACACAACCGCACCACTACCCACACGTCGCCGCCAACAACTCCTGGTTCCCCCTACAATCTGCACGGTATGTCAGACCAGGATATTCCGTAATGTGACATCAGTCAAGTGCAACACCTGCCTTGGCTGGTGCCACTTTAGGGCATGCTCAGGTCTGCGTACCACGCGAGATTGGACTGGGAACTTCGAGGGCCCGTGTTGCGCTGCTCGGTCGCAGACCTCAACTGCGACGCCTCCCGCCACCACCACGGCGGCAACCATCACAGCAGCGCACACAGCCAACGGTAAGAACACACACATCCCTAACACCCCACATCACGACACGTCTCCCAAACCACATGAAGCTCCTTCAATTTAACTGCAACGGGCTACAGAGCATGGTATATTGATAGCTGCGTCCAAGAGACGAAGTTGCACAGCAATTCAACTTTGTTGAATTGTGCCGGGTACAACGTGCACCGTCGAGATCGCGAGCGAGATAATGGTGGGGGCTTAGCGTTCATCACGCACCACACCGTGCAGTATCGTCTTATCGAAGCAGACATCGACCGCAGGGATACCACCCTAGAATGTCAGGGCATTGCTATCCGGTCAGGCGATGTTGAGCTCGAAATATTTAACATATACATACCCCCTGTCATACCTGAAAACCGAATGGTAGCAGGTGACTTTAATGCGCACCACGATCTTTGCCACTCAAGCCTGTCAAACGATCGTAGGGGAACAGTTCTGGCTGAGCAGATTCGACATTCTGCACAATGAACGACGACGCACCCACCAGGATTATGAGTAACTGCAGTAGCTCGCCAGACATCACCATAGTCAGCGCTGGTCTGATAAACAGCATAACATGGCGACCTATGCTGACTTGGCTGAGCAGATAGACGATTCGACATTCTGCACAATGAACGACGACGCACCCACCAGGATTATGGGTAACTGCAGTAGCTTGCCAGACATCACAATAGTCAGCGCTGGTCTGATAAACAGCATAACGTGGCGACCTATGCTGACTCTAGTATCAGACCATCTACCCATAGTCAT